TTAGGTAATTACATTCTGTGTCTATAAATCGCAACCCCCTGCAGCTTTCAGTCGGGTACGGTATTGTTCTACCCTTCCTGGCTGGAATGGTTGTGTGATAATGCTCCATGTCATTAAACAGCTGCCGTCTGTCACCTTACGATGAAGTCATTCCTCTCGAAACAATGACTTTATAAAGCCCTTTTGGGCCCTTCCAGATAAAATTTGCTCGTAAACCAGCAATTATGATCTTTCGAGGACGGTAAGGTGATGCTTGTTTGTCTCTCTTGACAGCAGTTGGAGGCCTTCAGACGGGTGTTGTCCCTTTTGTCGGCTTGTGTGATATCCTGGCAGGGACTCCGCAGCTCGGATGGAAATATTTATTACTGTGAAACCCTGATGCCTGTAAATGCCTCTGCGCTGGGATGGATTTGGTAGTCTTTACACTCAGAACCCGTTCGTCACCATGTGCTTGTTGTTATCGTGACTCTTAGAGGGAGTTCGATGTTCTCCTCCAGATGTCTTACACCAAAGAACGTGAAAAAGGCAAATCCCCAGCAAAATGGTAAAATCACTGAAATAGGGGGAGCATTGAAACATGAATTAACCAAAACAGAACAGTGAGAAGGGTTCTGGGCAGGGTTAAAAACAGATTTGAAAAACAGGTCTCAGGTAAATCCATTTGGTGCCCCTTAACAGCTACTCTTTAGCACCTGGCTTGACCCCTAGTTCATTAATGAAAATGATTGTGGATGAACGCCAAAGCTCTTAACAGTGATGAATTTAAGAGAGTCCCTTTTGATCCAGACTTTGCTTCTGAAGTCTGCCTCTCTCTCCTCAGCGGTCAGTTCTCTTTTAGTGGTCTTGCTGTAATTACAGATATGAACGGGAGAGACAGAGAAGGCATCTAGTAGGTTTTGCTGGTGCTCCTGCATAAGCAGCAGTGATATTAAAACAATCTCTAGCTCCTCAAAGAGTGGCCCTGTCAACTTGCTGAAATGATGGAATGGTAGTTAGGTTATTAGAAGGAAAATTGGCACAAATTGAGAGAGAGGATGCTCTGGCAGCGACCAAAAGCAGCCAGCAACTCAGTGGCTTAATCTCTGCCCTCGGGCTGCTCTCTACGATATGGATGACACCTTGTCAGTGAAGATGATGTGCTGGGTCACCCCTGAGTCCAATGGCCTAAATTGGCCATGGAGGGAAAGATTGCTGCAGTGTAGAGACAGCAAGCCACATAATCTAATTTTTTTTTTTTTTTTTTTTTTTTTAATGTAAGTCAGCATTTGGGTACTGACAGTAATTGTCAAGGGATCCCGTTCTCATTAGTGTCCCCTAGACACAGCTACCTCTGTACGCTCGTGCTTTCAGAAAACAGTCCTAAGCTTGTGCGCGGATTGCTTTGCCTCCTCTTGGAAAGTTTCATGTGAGGTTTCTCTTTTGCCTTATTATTTCTGGAGTACGGCAGGAGGGGAGGACGGGGGAAGGAAGGAGCCGCTTCCTCCGAGAGCCACTGTGTTGGCAAAGAGAAGCAGCAAGAAACCCCGCAGCTGCTGGCGACCGGGAGGTCTCAGTGCAGGGCAGTGGTGTCCGTCGGGTGAAGGTGGAAGTTGGGAGACGATGAGGGAATTCGTCCTTAGTGGAGACTGTTCGCTAGGGTTCAGCAATATTTGGCTGGATTTTATATTGCCCCTGTGAGCTCTGTGACAACTGAACCGTCAGGCAGGTGTGCTGTGCAGTTGTGTTCCTCAGTGGAACCTGCAAACCTGCTGCAGATCCACAGAACCTATAAAACTGGGTTTTTTTTCCATTGCTATCTTGGTGCTGGTTTATTTGCTTGTTCGGTTGGTCTGTGTTGGCTGTAGTCCTGTGGCTGCTGCTGGGGCTGGGTGAGGAGGCTGCAAGCGCCATGGCTGCGACAGTGCTCATGTGCTCCTCAAAACCCTGCCAGGGAGAGTGGGGTCGCTCCTTCGAGGGGCTTGGGAGCCTTCCTTGGCGCTGAAGTCACAGAAGCTGCAATTTAGCAAGGAGCCCAGCTGTGCCTGCAGAAACCGGTGCCCTCTCTGCAATCTGAACTTGCCTGTCAACCCTCCAACACATTGGCAGTTCAGCGAAACTTCTACCTGTGGCAGAAAAGGATTAGAAAGAAAAGTCTAAGTTATGATTGTTTTTTCCCTAAATCTGCAGGAGGTAGTGGATTGGCAGAGCTGTCAGTGGATGGCGGAATTCAGTCCGGAGAAGTTTTAATGACTTGCCCGAGTTAATTCAGGCAGCGAGTGACAAAGCCTGTCCCCTGGAGCTCTGCAGCCCAGCGTACGGTAGCCTACCCTGGAGTCAGAGCCTTTAACCATCTTTATCCAGTAAAGCATTGAAGGAATATGATCGATATAGTTCGACTTCGGTTCCGCCAAAGTAAAGAAAGGGCTTAAGCATTTTGTGGAATTGGAAGAAATCGTGGCCTGCGCCGAAACCTTCAGCTCGGAGCAGGAACTTGATGCTAATGTGTTCATTAACCCGAGAAAACAAGGAGAAGCGTTTGGTTTTATGGTTTCCTAAAAACTGGCTTGTTAGCGATGGAGATTGTGGTGCTCTTGGTGGTAAAGGTGATTTGGGTAAAGGACAAAGCAAAGGAGTACACTTGTTGTTCTTTATTAAATATGACCTTTTCTGTAATTGCGGGCTAAAGTAGCAATTGCGTATGAATTTCTTAACGAAGGGATCCAACAGGGAGAATAGGTGAAGGGCATAATTTAAAAATGAACTCAATTCATTTTTTAATGTAAACAACATTGAGAACAAATAAAGCAAAAATGAAGCTGATCTCTGAAAGAAAATAGTTGACTGAGTACCAGGGCGAAGCTGGGGGCTGCACAGCTAAGCTGCTACCTTCTCGTGTCTTGGCAGGTCCAAAATACCATGTGAGCATTTTCCTTAGGTATTTTAAACTATTTATCAGGGATTTTTCACCCTCCCTGCTAGGGAGGTTGTTTAGCAGATTGGGTTTTACGTAAAGGAATGGGAATTGGGAAGAAATAGCAGAGTGATTTTCTAGAGGTACGAACGTTGTGTAGGTGCCTACAGCTCCTTGACAGCCTCGGAGGTTGTTCCCATGGAGTATCATTCAAGTCTGGGTTTTTCTGTTGCGTGGAGATTCGGGGGGGCTGGTTCTTTGGGTAGGTGGTTTGATTTGGCTTAAGTGTTAGGTATGTATGGAAAATGTAGTTTCTAAGGCCTGGAGAAACAGTAGTTTCTCAAGGTGTGCTTGTGACCTGCAGAATATCTTCAAAATGAAGAGTGTACATAGAGACAAGACAGGGTATTTCTGAAAGGTTGGACCAAATCTTTCAAGCTCTTACTCAGGCAAGACTCCCGCTAGAATCGAGCGGAATTTTGTCTAATAAATGAGTATGATGATAAATGTGTCCACTGATCCGCGTTGAAGGCGCTTCACAAGTGATGATCAAACTTCTTGTTGTTGGTTCAAAACATGGCTTTAATATAACTTTCTCCTTCCTGCCGTAAGCAGGGAAAGTGCTACAGTTAGTAGGGGCACATTAATGTGTTCAGGTGAATTATGCTTTCAAGGAGATGAAACACATGTAACTAAATAATTTGTCTTTGTGCAGATTATAGCTGTGAGACAGGGGAATTACACAGGGTTGTTTTTTCCTTGCCATTCTTAGATTATTTTTTTTTCCACATGTAAAATACGATTTTCATCTGGTTGTGCAGATTTTGAGCTCTTCCAAGTCCTCCTGTGGGCATTCTCTCCTGAACAATCATCAAATGGAGATATTGTGATTAAAGCCAAGTTTTTTGATAGTGGCAGGTGGCTCTGAAATGCCTGAATTCTGCGCCGATCGACTCTCGACATTGCTGAACACAGGTCATTTCCCCCCTTCCCCCTGTGGAAAGGTGGGGGGAATGCTCGAAAAGTCACGTCTCATTAGCGTTCTTTCTTGAAACTCGAATTATCATCACTTACGGAATCTCTATCCAAGTAATTAGTTGAAATTATAGTCCTTAATTCTCAATAATGGCATGAGTTTTGGGGGGAGTTTTGGTTTTGGTTTGGTTTGGTTTTGGTGTTTTTTTATACTTTTGTTCACTGTGTGAAAATATTAGTTTTCCTTAGTAGAGCAACCTAAACCATAACATGTCATTTGCCTCACAGAGGAGGTTATTTTTTCTTCCTGAGCTCTTTTCCCCTGCCAAAGCGTGTGGTTGTTTTGAAGTGAGATGGACATCTGGAGCTCAGGTAGGGTAACAATTTCCAGGGTGTGAAAAATTTCAAATATTTCACATCCTTTTTGCAGGGAGAAAAACTTTTTGAAGTGGCGTTTTAATTTTCGCAAAGTAGGCGATTTTGCCACTGCCTTCTCCCTTTGAATTGAGCTTTTTTTTAATTTGTGCCAGGGTGCAATAAACAACGCACTTGAAACTGGAGCGCTCCAGCCTGCGTTTCCTTTTGGAAGAG